TTATGGATTAGTAATCTGGGGGGGGGGGGTTTGAAAGGTTACTTGAGGGTTTTCTCTGGCAATTGGAGCCATATGACTTCAATATTCATTTTGAAAAGCTCCAAAGGTATGGGAAAAAAATCTAAATAGTCAATATTCTAGCCTCATGAGATACAGGCAGGGGTTTTTGTTTTAAGAGACTCAGCTGGGAGTTTAAAAACAGTTCAGTACAACACAATCTACTGTAATCTGTACTCAATCTAATGTGGCAGGTAAAATTAAGCAGCTATAATTTCACTTCAGTTTACACTAACTTGGCTTCTTAAAATGGCTTTGGGTTGTCAAATTTGAAGATAAAAAAAATACAGAAATTCTAGTCTGCAATAGGATGTCATGCTATAGGTGGTGACTAGAGGGAGATGTTGAATAATCTTTTGTCAGACTGTTTTGTTCAACCTCTAGGACTAAATTCATCCTTGGTGTAACTCCACAGAAGTCAATGGAGTTGTGTGTGAGAATGCTGTAATGCAGAACTCTGCTCTGACTGGCATTGTTGGGTAATGCTGTTAAACTTCCTTGGGTGTGGACAACAATGCGGTCTGCACTGCTCTTTTGCACTCCCTCTCAGTCTCTGAGAATGCTGCCTAATTGTTAGTCTTGGGGTGGGAGGCAACTTCTGAAGGAGAGGGAGATGCCATACTGATTGAGGGGAGCGGAAAAACAGTCTCAAAGGGAGTGCATTACAGTCTTACAACTAGAGCTGGTTGAAAAATGAAACTTGTCTCAAATGTTCTTGTGAAAAATTCACCCCCATTTTCCCAATCTAAAAATTCCACAAGTTTTCAACCAGCTCTAGTTAACACTCTTAGAGGAAGGATGTTCCAAATGGTTAAAACACTAGCCAGGTTATGGGAGACCCAAGTTCAATTCCCCGCTCTGCCACACGCTTTTTGTTTGTCCCTGGGAAAGTCATTTAGGTCCAGATTTTTAAAGATATTTAGGCATGTAAGAGCCTCAGCCTGAACCTGTACATACCTATTTTTAGCACCATAACATGAGTTTGAATCTGTTGGTCCTGGGGTTTGAGACTTGCTGTAAACATACCCTCTGTCAGTTAGGCCTTGCAACGCAGACTGGAGCAGTGCCTAAGTGCCTCTAAAAATCAGTGTCTTTTAGTCTTTTTGTGCCTCAGTTTTTCTGTAAAATGGGGCTAATAACATTTCCTTTCTTTATGGGGGTGTTGTGAGGATAAATACTGTAAAGACTGTGAGCACTGCAGAGACTATGGTGATAGGGCACTATAAGTACATAAGAGCGAAATCCCTTCATAGAAAGGCTAACATTCTCTTTCTCCCACACTAAGGTAATAACTCCTCAGCATACTATAACTAGGACTGACTGTGTGAAGTTGAACTCTTGAAACTTCTCTCTCTCTCTTATATGCGTGCACAAACACATATTATATATTAAAGAATAGATTGGAAAGCAAAGTAAATTACATTTATTGTATCTATAAGTACATTTTGCTTGCTTAGTCCTCTGTATGTATAGGGAGCACTTAGACACCAGTTTATCTGTGGCACTGAGTGTTGGTGCGTGTGATTACCTAACAGTCTTCTTCCAGACTGATGGATAATTGAACTATATAGTGGACTCTTCAGTATTATTAGGAACATTCATGCATGTTGTTATATATAACATGTTTCTCGTTTATCTTATCTTTCTATCCCAACCCCTCTTTTTTAAATGTATAGCTAAGTCTCTTATTTGGTTAAATATGGACATTAGCTATGGATATCAATGTTTATTTAAAATATCCTAGCAGGATCAGCTTTTTACATTTTTTTTTTAAATTAACATATTTTTGGATTAGGAAGGTGATATTTTGTTTGGTTGGTGTCCTTTTGAGGTTTAAAATGTAAATCTATATTAAGTCATTTTAAAGAAGTAACCTCTTCCCCCTACTAAACAATAATGGGTCCTTTGAAGATGTTATACTTCATAACTCTTTTGCCAATCTGTGTCGTGTGGGTGGGTCACAATGTTAATGTGTATATCAGGGGTCGGCAATGTTTGGCACGCGGCTCGCCAGGGTAAGCACCCTGGCGGGCTGGGCCAGTTTATTTACTTGCTGACGCGGCAGGTTCAGCTGATCGCGGCCCCCACTGGCCGCGGTTCGCCGTCCCGGGCCAATGGGGACGGCGAGAAGCCGCAGCCAGCACATCGCTCGCCCGCGCTGCTTCCTGCTGCCCCCGTTGGCCCGGGACGGCGAACCGCGGTCAGTGGGGGCCGCGATCGGCCGAATCTGCCGCGTCAGCAGGTCAATAAACTGGCCCGGCCCGCCAGGGTGCTTACCCTGGCGAGCCGCGTGCCAAACATTGCCGATCCTTGGTGTATATTATGTCCTTAGTTATTGGCATGCACTAGGCTGCATTTTCTTGCAACCCTGAAAAACAGTTTATAGTGGTGGTGTCATGATGTACTAGGTCAGCAATAGCAAGTACCATTAGAATGCATCTCCAATAATTTCTCTGTTTGCAGTTTATGGAGACTAAGGCTTAGTCTACACTAGAAAAGATTTGCTGCTGTAGCTAATATAGACAGTTTCTACCAGCAGAAATATGCTTTTTTTTTAAATTGTATAGCTTATACAAGTTCCCTAAACAAAGTAAGTGATAGTGCGGAGGCATATCAGCAAAAGCTTTATAACGTTAAAAAACCAACAACCAAAACCCCCCCCCAACAGCCCCCGACACTATCATACTAGCAAGTTTCTAGTGTAGACCTGTCCTATGACATGTTTTATGTGCTAATTTGATGGGCCTCCACACCACTCAGCATTCTTACAGAGAGGAAGATAATCATTCTGACATCCTGCCCTGATTGGAGACTCAGTGGCAATGAGGGTTGGTTTTTTCACAAGTCATGTTTTATGGTTTGTGGGTAGGTCACTGATCCCAATCTGATTGACTTGCTGTCATCCTACTCCAGTTCACTTGCAGGGCTGCTGGAACAATTTTTATAGTGGGGGAGCTGAGAAACATTGGACCAAACTGTAAACCCTGGATATATTGGAAACCACTTCAAGCCAGGGGGTTTGACAGCACCCCTAGTTTCAGCCCCCACAATTCATTGATCTGAAAGATGGCTTATTTTTTGTTCATTTTTTCACCAATATGCATTGGATGTGTGTGTCTTTCTTGCACAGGCACCCAGCTAACTAGTCACATCAAAGATTCAGAGGTGAGCAGTTTTAAAAATGCAATTGAATGTTTACCAAGGGCTGTTGCTGCCACTGCAAAAACTGTCCAGGATATATCCCATTAACACTTCTCTATCACAGTCAACCCTGGCCTAGGAATTGAGTTACAGCATTGATTACACAACATGCATTACTGAGGCAGAGCTATCCCTTGAAATCCATGTGTGATCACTCCACTTGCTCTGTAGAAAGCTTTACTAATGCCAAACACTTTACTTATATCTGTGTACCATATGCAATCAGTTTTCATTTAAAAGCCTTTGGCTTCTGCTGGAAAATGATTGTACAACCCTAGCTGACAAATGAATGCGAATTTAAACACTGGCACACAGTATTCCTCTACATTAGCTCATTGTAGTAAAAGAGCAACTTCAATGGAGCTGTGCTATTTTGGGGTTACCTC